AACAATACACCACGGTAAAGGTGACAGACAGCAGGGGTGGTGGGAAGTAGGGGGCCGCTGGAACAGGGACTAGCTCGGCTGGCACTCCTACTTCTTTTGTCTCCGTCCCATCCTCATACGAGATCATTACTTATTCCTACTGAGGTGGTTGTCTAACTGAAACAAGTGAAAACAGAAGCAAGCTCCACCTAATACAGTAATTTATTAATTTACTTTACAAAAACATGTCTGATGTTACATTTTAAAAGGCCAAATGAAAAATTGCATGTCGTGGTTGACCACAGGTGCATCAAACTGTGTATTCAGAGACACATGCTAGCAAGGAACATATAATATTGAGAACAGGTGAGTATTAAGTTGGTTGTACTGTAATTTTCCTGTTTCTTTTTTACAGTTGTATTTATGCAATACATTTTTAAAAAACCAGAGGGACAAATCCTACATAACAATATATAGAGAGATAAAGGGGTGGGAAAAAGAAATCTTTTTAGAGAAGAAAAAGCACATTCAAAACAATAGCACAATCCTTTAAATCACAAATCAGGTGACTGTTTTAAGCAGTGATTCTCATGAGCTGAAAATTAAGTATTGTCAGTCCCTTTTTAATTTCCTCATCTTACCCAAAGAATTTGCTACTGGGGTTGTTCTCTGGATGGTATTCTGTCTAACATGCACTGATGAAGGAAATTGATGACATTCTAAAATAAATTATTAATCTTTCATTTATTCAATGATTAATATGCCTGCTCTGTGGAAGATATAAATGCAAATTCATATAAAAAAAGGTGGGAGATGTAAATGCAAATTCATCATCTTTACATACCACACAATTGCTGCCTTGCCTCCTAAATACAAGAGAACTCGCTCATTCTAAGAATCTAAACTAGGATATTTTTTACTACCGCTCTGCATAAATTTTTTTCTCAAAAGTTCCAATAATTGCTTTATTGTCAAATCTGATTTCCCCCCTTCATCCTTCTCAACTTTTCAATGGCAGCTAACTTTACTGAATATCTGTTCCTTCTTTCCTTCTTTCATTTTATTCATGTCTGACAGTGGACCCATCATTTTTTAGGTTCCCCCATTATCTTAAAAACACATTTAAAACTTCCTTCCCTCCTTCTTTTTGTAACTAACCAGTTGGTCACTAAAACCTAGTACTGTTTTGGAAATGTTTCCATAATTTTTCCTTTCCTTTTGGTATGGGTGTAGTCCAGGTCCTCAGAATATTAGATCTAAATTCCTGAAATGCTCTCACAGGTCTTCCTGATTTTAGCCTTTCTCACTCTTCGAGGTATTCGGGGTCAAATCCCTTACATGTCATTCATTTTTCTGTTCAAGAATCTGTATTTTTTCTTGTCTGCTGCACCAATGTCAAACTTCTTCCCTTGGCTTTCAAGATCACACATAATCTCTAATCAGCATACCCAACCTTATCTACTTTTTGGGTTTTTTTGATCTCCAGCACACACATTTAACTCTAGCCAGTATTCTCAGTGTCCCCAATATACTTGTGACTTGTGGACATATCATTCCCTTTCCACTGTATCCTTCTGACTGGCATTTAAACAAGCTTAATTCTCTTCAATTAAAAAAAAAAAAAACCCAAAACTGGAATCCACATATTCCTCCAGCTAATGTCTGCTTTCTCTCTCCTCCCTCACAGCTGAATCCTCCAAAGAGTTATGTTCACTGTTTGTATTTCTTCTTTCTCGCTAACTCCTCTATGCACTCTCATTACTCAACCAAAACACTGTTTGCTGAGGTCATCAATGACTTCCATGTGGTCCAATACAATGGACATTTTAAATCCTCTCAGTAGAGCTGAACAATTTCTTCCTTTTTGAAACATGTCTCTGATGTCACACTGTCCTAGTTTTTTTCATACCTCAGCAGCCACCTGTCTCCTTTGCTTGTTCCTATTCCTCCTCTCTCTACTCTCTACATATTAGGATACTTCAGATCTAAGTCCTGGGCCTTTTTTCTTCTCTTATGATAAATATTTTCCTGGTGATTCTACTCAATCCCATGATCTTAAATACTACATATATACTGATGACTCCCAAATTAACTCTTATATGGATCTCTCCTCTGAGCAACGTCTAATATAAAACTACTTACTTGATAAGCATAAATGAATTATCCCCCAAATACTTCAAACTTGATAAAAGGGAAAAAGGAAAGCTAAGAGTGAATAGAATTTGCAAAGGTCCTGGAGTGCAGAGCCATGGCAGGGAAGGGACAAGTGAGGAAGAAGAGTAATAATGTGTATGGGGTACTCGAGGAAAGTCTCACTCATTGATTCAAGGTGATATACAATCATTAAAACAAAGCCAGAGTGCTATGAAAAAAAGAATAAAGATAATACAAGAGAAAGCTCTCAAAAATTTTAAATGTTTGTCAAATTAAAAGATTCAACAGAAGGCGTGGAATGTAAAATCAAGAAACCCAATATGTAAAACAAAACAAAAACAAGACGAAAATAGAAAAGATAAACAAGAGGGCCAATCCAGGAGATCAAACAATCAATTAACAGAAGTTCCAGAACTACAGACCAGTGGAAACAAAATGGAGGAAATTATCAAAGAACTGAAACAAGAGAATTCCTCAAAGTTGAAGAACGTGAGTCTCCAAAATTCATGTCAAGCAAAACAAATGAAAAAGACCTAC